ATACAGAATTGAAGCATAAAAAAAATATCCCTCCAAAGGTCTGTTGTACACTTCCTCACGTGGGGTCCAGAGGAGAGTGGACGTAAGCTCAGACAGCACACGTGGCAAAGTAGAAACTTATAGTTCCTGGTTTCTGGAAGTACTTTTCTCCCATTCATAGGGTGCTCAAGAAATTCCACGTAAGCATGACAAATACGCATCTAGTCTGTCTTTGGCTCCCAGTGGAGATTCTGCTGCTGACTGCTACTATGTAAGGGGGGGTGGGGATGATGACAGGACACTTATTGGAAAATGGGAAGTCCAAAATTGTTGCTACCACAAAATTCTAGACCGAACTAGCCTAAAATGCAATTGAGAAATGTTCAACAAAATAAATAAGAACATATGACAACATATATAATGTTAATTTGTGGTTTTTAAGAGGATCCTATTTTAGTTTGATACTGGTTTAGATACTTCAAAGTTCACAAGGTCAAAGCCAAATCTGAGGCCTCTCCTTCCTCCACCTCCCTCCAGGTGGTTACTTTCTTAGGGGGTTTAGCTAGAATGCCATACTCAATCAACCTTCAAAAACTTCCCAATTCCAGATAATGCTTTTTATACAGATCCTAGAGGGCATAATAGAAATCCCTCAATCACCTGGAACAGACTTTTGGCAATTGAAAGATCTATTATGATTGGAACAGACTGTTCCAAATGATTGAAGGATTTCTGTCATGTCCTCTAAGTCTAGTGGTTTTGAAAGACTTTTCATGCAGTCTGTGATGTATGTGTTAGAAACGGGGTTCAGACACTCCTTGTAGAGATAGGGAGGGACGGGCGAGCTGTAGTAGCCCACTGCTCCCTAGTTGCAAACCGTCAGAGTTCTGCTCTCCTTTAAGAAACAAAACTTAAACTGACGTGAGTGAAGGAAACATTTATTTATGGTTCTTGCAAGAAACAGGTGTATGGGACACTACAGGATTAAGAGCAAACATTTCAATGTGTCATCTATCTACTTGTACTGTTGAAAACCATCAATTCTTTAGTCTAGATATAGTATGAAGAATTACTAGCTGTGTGACCCTAGGCAAGTCACTTAACCTTGTTTGCCTCAGTTTCCTCATCTGTAAAATGAGCTGGAAAAGGAAATGGCAAACCATTCCAGTATTTTTGTCAAGAAAACCCAAAGAGAGTGATGAAGAGTTGGACATGACTGAAAAGTGACTGAACAACATTGTGATAGGAAGAATGCATGAAATGTTTCTCTTCAAAATGCTAATTTTTCTTTGTTGAACATATTTCTTTATGGAACATAACCAGTGTGAAATGATTCTACAAAGGGCACTGAATTCAGCTTCAGCTTGATTTCCAGGTATAAAATATTATGCAACCTTTTGATAAGGGGAGCTAGAAATTCTCTTCATATGCAAGGAAATTTTCAGAACAGAAGTTAGAACAAAAGCACTCATACATAGCAAGATGATACTCTGTATAAAGGATACAGAAAAACTTTAAAGTAGTAGAATAGATGTTTTGTTAGGCTCCATATTTCTGAGAAAATAAAACAATCCCAAAAGGCATGAACATGAGAAAATAATAATCTATAATGTCATCTGAAGAGAGTCTGAGGTAAAATTTTATAATTGGCAAAACTCAGATGATCACTGCCAGATATTATTGATTATAGGTTTAACATTTTCCTGGAGCCCTTGTTGATCTATGTTTTGGTACCAAAGACAATCCAGAGGTGAATTTTTTTCAGTGGTATGTGGAATATTTTTTTTACCATCAGGGTTGTGCTGTCCAGGTCCAACTTCCTTAAAATTAAGAGGTTACAAAATTATCCTTTCCTTCCCCTTTTTCCCATTATCTCTTCTTTCACTCCAGTCTCACATGAAGAGCTAGTTTTAGTCTTTGCCAGTGCTGAATATGTGCCCTTGGAAGACCAGTTCAAATTCTACTTTAGACACTTACTCAGTTTCCTCATCTATAAAATGGGGTAACATTAGCATCTCACAGGGTTGTTGGGAGCACAGCTCAGATGCCACCTTTTACATGAGAAGTTTTCTGATCCCTGATTAGACGTAGTTACTTATAGATATTGGTATTACTTTGTATGTTTTTCATGCTTGTTTGTATACATGCTGTCCCTCCACCTTCCACCCAGAATGTAAACTCTTCCAAAGGAGACTTTTATTTTTGTCTTTGTATCATCAGTGATTTGCACATAACAAGCACCTAATAAAATGTTTAACTGAATTCAGTCAAACTCTTTTACTCCCATGATTTAAGGAGGGAAGGATATCATGTAGACACATCTGGAAAAGTACTTTGAATAATATGATCATGGAGCTGATGTAGTTTGTGGGTGCTAGGATGGGTCTGCCTCGAAAGAATTCAATCACTTAAGCCTTCTTTCAGTTCAAGTAGTGAGTTTGTTGTACACTCACTGATTGGGTGGGCAAGTTTTCTAGTAAATCTGTGGTATTTGTGATGCCAATACAAGCGGGCCAGATTCTAAGAATCTGGGCAATTTAATGGGGGTAAGATTGGTAATTTTATACAGGAAAAAACAGTGAGAAAATCTGGATGGGATTAAGGAGTGGCAATTAGCCTGGGGTGAGCCTGGTGTAGACAATGAAAGGAGTTTAGTGCCCAGAGAGCCCCAGTAAAAGGGCAGTTAAAAGGACTATTGACTGGGATTGGCTGGATGCCTCAGGAGAACAGAGGGGATATAAACTGTTGAAATTTGTGGGAAAGTTCTAGGGCTTTTCCTTTTAGGGGTCCAGATCCCAAAGACAGGGTCTTTTCCTTTCAGGGGCTCAGATCTCATGACCCTCTTGTGGTCTGAGAGGTTGAGACCCCTCAAAGACTGGAGTACAGGATGGGGTTGTCTGGAATGAATTCACAGATTCAAGCATTCTTTGACTCAAGTTGACAAAGATTTATTGTTACACTATATAGTGGGCAAGGATTGTTAAGGAACCTGCGAGAGACTGAGGATGGAGCTGAAAAAGGGCATGGGAAAGGAATGCCAGGGATACTGATTAGGTCATCTAAAGGTCCAGGTGTCTTTGGGAGCTATGGATGGGAAAGTGTAGGGAGTATGCCAGACAGGGAGGGAGATGTCAGAGGCATGGATCTTGGGAATCTGGCAGGAGGAAGAGTCCCTGGGCCACCCAGGGACAAAACTCCTTGAGCCAGGCACACCTCTTTCTCTGTCCTGATTAGAGAATGCTCTGCAATGAGGAAAAGTTTTCTCACAAGACAGGAGCTTACTAAGGAATTGGGAGGCTTCCAGAGACATGATCTTAGTACTGGGAGCAGCCCAGCACTCTCTCTCCCAGCTTTGTGTCACCAGGGAGAGAGATAAGTGTATTGCTGAGGCCCAATCATGAGTAACTGCTAGGCACAGTGTCCTTGGGCTGGGGAAAAACTGCCAGGCATTGTGCTTCTGAGGCCAGGGAGAAATTGGGGTCCAAGCACAGGCACCCAAGCACCCCATCAATCCCATCAGAGCTAAGGCAGGAAGTTACCTCAAAGACCATTTAATCTAATATGGTCATTGTATAGCCAGAAACCTAGTCCTGGGGAGGTTAAATAACTTGCCCAGCCTCATATAGTAGTAAGCATCTGAGGCAGGACCAGAACCCAGGTCCTGAACCCTTTCTAGTTTTCTTAAATTTTCAGATACCCTAAGATGCAATGCCACTTGGCCTCTCTGCTCTTCCTTGAACCAAACACTCTCTCTCCAGACTGTGTTTTTGCTAGCTGTTCTCCACGCCTAGAACTCGCTCTCCTCTTCTCTGTCTCCTGGCTTCCTTCAAGTCTCAGCTAAAATCTCACTTTCTGCAAGAAACCTTTCTCAGTTCTCCTCAAACTAAGTTTCTCCCTTCTGAAACTATCCCCAATTTATCCTGTATATATTTTATTAGTATGCAGCTGTTGGCATGTGGTCTCCATTAGACCGAGCTCCTCAAGAGCAAGGACTGTCTTCTGCTTTTCTCATAAACTTATCCTTAGCTAGGTAAAATACCAGAAAGGGGCCCGTTGGGGCAAAGAGCCACTTCAGCATCCATAAAGAACGTGCTTTAAGGTTGGCAAAGAAGCCTGGTCTCTCATTTGAACCCAACGACCCTAGTGTTATAAAGACGACCCCAGCCTCAGTTCCGAAGACTGGGGTCTCAAAGACTTTTTATTAAAAAGGTTGAAGTGCGCCATTTTGATTCTCGGGAGAAGCGGGCGCACTTCCCTGGGAGGAGAGAAAATGCACCCGGTAAAAGACACCAGTGCAAGCTTTATGGTTAGTAATTGCCTAACTCCTCCCTTCTGGATCAGGATTGGTCCTGATCCTTCTGGGTTACAATCTTCCTTATGTGGCCCACCCCTAACATACATTATGTGCCTAGAATTGTGTTATCACCCCCCTCCCCCTCGCCTCCCACGGAGAAGTTATCCTGTCTGGCAGATTTCTTATCTTCTTATGTGGAAACTTAACTCTTTCATCTCTCACAACAGGAAAAAGGTCCCACTATATTATATTATAGGCCTGGGGGACTGGGAGTCTGGAAAACCTGGGTTCAAATCCTGCCTCAGATAATTAATAGTGAGTGGCCTCGAACCTCTATCCACCTCAGTTTCCTCATTTGTAACCTCTGAGGGTTGTTATGAGGATCAAATGGGATATCTGTAAAGCGCTTCTGCAACCCTTAAAGACCTATAGCAATGCTACCGATTACTATTGTTCCTATTTTATTATGGAGGAAAAAGAGGCAGGCAGAGGTTAAGTGACTTGCTCAGGGCCCCCACAGGTGCTACGTGTCTGGGCCAACAGTTGAACTCATGACTCCAGGCCCAGCGTTCTCTCCATGACCAGATCTGGGAGGCAAGAGACGTAAAGCGCAAGCAGAGGCGCGCAGGTACGACTGCCGCAGCCCCGGGCGCGGCCCTGATCTCTCCGCCTCGGTGGTCCCTGATCCGGAAGCAGCCGCCCCCCGGGTTAGTAGTTCCGGGTTTCCTGGCGACGCTTGCTTGGGTCTGTTCGGTCTCCTTCTTGTCTGGGAGCCGGCGGGGAAGCGGGCGAGCGACGGTCCATGGCTGCGGCGGAGTCCGACAGTAGCCAGCGGCAGGTGAGGCCAGGCCCGGGAGGGTCCGAGAGGCGGAAGGGACCGGCGGCTCCGCTCGTTTGGCGGCAGGATGATACCTCAGGCCGCAGCCCGAGCCCCGCCCGGTCCCTGCTGCCGGAGGTGTGCGGATCCCGGCCCCGGGGCCAGGGCTTCTCCCCGCCTGGCCAGGAACGAGTTGGGCCTAAGCTCCTTCGCGGCTCAGGCTCTTTTAGCGCTTCCGTAAAACGGACGTGAAATGCATCCACACCCTCGCGTGCCTGCGCGTCCCTGTGCATCTTCGAAATTTATGATGCATGCTAATGCACGCTGGCTGAAACCAATGAAAATGAGGGTTGTCGAACCCTAGAGTTGCTATGCCAGAATCTGTATCAAAGGTGACAGGTATATGACACCTGTCATGGAGAGAACCCTTTCAAGGAGCCCACCCTAAAATGGCACTATTTTTAATGGGATTTTAGGGCTGGAAATAATCCTAAAGCACAGGTTCTGAATGCAATTAAGCCGTGTTTTGTTTTGCTTTTTTTTTGACAAATTTTTGTCTAAAACCTGTTTTGGTTTTTAACTTGTTTCAGATAGATGAAATTGAAGCACTTTCATCTATATATGGAGATGAGTGGTGTGTTATTGATGAAGCTACGAGAATATTTTGTATTAAGATTAGTGATAATTTAGAAAAACCCAAATGGACACTCTGCTTACAGGTATTTTTCCCTTTTCTTGCTAAGTTGCTGTGCTTTCTTTGTTATGTCTTTCCAGTTTTTTATGCTTTTTAAAAATAATTTCTCTTGCATGCTAAATTTTTTTTGTCAATTCTTGATTGCATGTGAATAGTCAGATTTCATTTTGTTCTTGAATGTTATGTTACCTAATGGTTTAAACAGTATACTCTAATAAAATGAGAGAAGTTGGATGATTTAACAGCATTTGCTTTTGTATTGAACCCATTATTGATTTGAAAGGAAACTTGAAAATCTCTTAGAATGCTATTTTGCTTATTAAATACTTTGCTTATTTTCAAGCATGTATTTATCAAAATTTGTTTTTTTATTTGGTGATTTTTATCTTATAATTATACATGTATAAATATTTACACAAATGTATAGTACATATAGTACATATGTAGTATCTTAGGAAAAGTTCTGTCAAATGTTAATCAGCCCTACTTCTCTTTATACCCTTGGCATTAAGCTAGGTTCTTCAATTATCCTTTAAATTAAATCCAGCTGATATTTATTAAGTGACACCTATGAGCTAGGCAACATGCTGAGTATTAGGAAGATAAAACAAAAAAACAGCCCTTGCTGTCAAGGAGGTCACATTGTGCTGAGTAGGTTGCAGGATGTAAACAGATTGATACTGGTAATTTGAGAATGAGGGAGAAAATGAAGATATTACAGAGATCATGAATAGAACAGGCTTGAGGGAAGCCAGGGAGCTGAGGGGTAGTGGTGAATTAGGAGTGCACTCTGGGGATGAGTTACTGCTTGGGCAAAAGCCTGCAGTCAGTAGATAAAGTGCTGAATTGGAAGAATAGCAAACAGATCAATTTAGATGGAGGAGAGTCAAGTATGGCACACCTGGAGTCAGGCTGTGAAGAGCTCTCGGTGACAGACTGAAGAGTGTGGTTTTGTGTTTTATCCTACAAACAACAGACTGACATGGTCAGACTTGTGCTTTTGATAAGATGGTTTTAGCAGATGTGTGAAGGCCAGGTTCATACAGAGGAGAGACCAGGATCTGGGGGTTCAGCTAGGAGACTTGCAATAGTCCAGACAAAAGATGATTTGGTCATGAGCAAGGTTGGCCGTGTAAATGGACAGAAAGGGACAGATTCAAGAGATCTCTTGAATGTTATGCTTTTCATCATATTATTTTCAGATGTCATTGCTTCTTTCAGGAAAGTAATTGACCCCTTCTCACATCTTCTTAAAGAAACGGCAACATATCAATAGAAATTGTAAACTCTTTGAGGTCACGGACTAAGACAGTCCTTTTTGTAGTTGTGGGATGGAGAATAGTACCTTGCACATAGTTGCCTTTAATAGATGTTTATTAAATTGACTACTCAAATAAAATTCTATTCAGAGGGGAAGGGAAAGGAGCAAGCATGTATTAAGTATCTATTGTGTTCCAGGCACTGTGCTAAGCACTTCACATATTTGTATCTCATTTGATACTCACAACAACCTTGTGAGGTAGGTGCTGTCCTGATCCTTCCATTTTACAGTTGTGGAAAATGAGGCTAAGAGATTAAGTGACTTCTACAGAATCATCACACAGCTAGTAAATATCTGAGACTGGACTTGAATTCATGTCTTCCTTACTCTAGGCTCAGATCTCTGTCTGCTGCCCATTATGCTCAGAGATGTAATGATAAAGATCAAGTTCATTGGTTAATGTCTAAAAAAGGGATGAATTTATTTCCCAGAGTTAGTAATTAAGGAATTTGACTAGTGCATATATTTTCATGTAATTTTTTGAGCCTTGATCTTAATAAAAATAAACACTTAAATTGCCTTACAGGTGATTCTGCCTTCTGAATATCCAGATACAGCTCCACCTATTTACCAACTGAAGTAAGCAAGGCTTCTATTTTCATTTTCTGAAATTATACTTAAATTGCTTTTTTAAAAGATTGTTTTCATGCATATGTTTTACAGGGGTTTGTATTGAAGATATTATTTAGCAATAGATGATAAAATTATGTAAACTTTATCAACTTGTAAAATATTGAGTTAGAAAAATTGAATGAGATAAAAGCACAGTCCAAAAAATATAATACAAACACAGAGATTAAACATGCAAAATAATTTTATTATCCTTGGAAATGAAAAATAACTTTCTTTAACCAACCCTAAATTAGTGTTGATTGGCTTTGAAAGGAGTTTGGCTTTACTTTAACAAAAAGATTAGGTTTAACTTGAGGTAGCAGGTTTTTTTTGGTTTGTTTGTTTGTTTTTGGTATGTGAGGCAATTGGGGGTTAAGTGACTTTCCCAGGATCACACAGCTAGTAAGTGTCAAGTGTCTGGTCTGAGACCAGATTTGAACTCAGTTCCTCCTGCCTCCAGGGCTGGTGCTCTATCCACTGCACCACCTAGCTGCCCCCAAGGTGGCAGTTTTGAGGTGGCAAGTAAAACAACTTTGAATTAAATCTTCATTTCCCCTTGGAAGAAAAATAGTAATCTAAAATTTGAGTTATTTTGGAAGCCTGGAACATATTGAGAATGGCAGCCAAGAAAGATAATTCTGGTCTAATCTCCACTGAATATCTAGAAAGGAGACCCTTGTCCTACTGTACTCTGCAGTGGTCTGACCACACATGGAGCACTGTGTTCACTTCTGGACTCCGTGTTTTAAGATGAATGTTGACAAACTGGAACATGTCTAAAGGGGGATGAACGGGATGTTGAAAAGATTGGAGACAGTGCTGTATGTGGGAGGAAGGAGTTGGGTACATTGAACCTGAAAAAGACGATTTGAGGGAACGTGATTGTTGTCTTCAGCTATGTGAAAAGTTGTGATGTGGAAGAAGAACGAGAGTTTTTTTGCTTAATTCCAGAGGTCACAGAGTAAAAATGAGATTAAAGACAGGCTTCAGCCTTATCAAAGGAAACAGCTTCCATGGAGCTTTTTAGGCAGAGGCTGGTGTAGAAGGAATTCTTGGTCAGGTATGAGTTGGACTAGATAGCCGCCAAGGTCCCTTCCAGTGCTGATCCCATTCTGTGATTTTGAGATACTGCCATAGGTACCATGTAAAGATATCTGTTATATAAGATAAATGCATCTGGAAAGTAAAATGAAAAGCCTTTGATTAAATTGATCTTTGTTCCCTAAAAAAAATCTGAACACAAAGTAATTCAGTGATGTGCTTCTCATTATATTTATTTAATTACAGTGCTCCATGGCTTACAGGACGAGATCGTGTGGAATTAGCAAACAGCCTTGAGGAAATATATATGTAAGCAAGGCATCATTTTTTTTTTTGGTTTGTTTTAAGAATCCTCTATTAATATTTGTTATTTATAGTGCATTCTTTTAAGAACTGTGGTATGTAAAAGTAATTTTAAAAACTGTTGTAAAACTACCTTCCCAGTAAGAATGATAAATATAGGCTTAATCTCTGATAAAAACTTGAAAGACAGTGGAAAAAAAGTCTTATTTTGCAATACTATCTGGTTGTCAGAGTATGATAATTAAATACCTAATATCTATAAGAACATGCTATGGGTAGTGAACATCAGTGAAGTTTTATTTTCTTTCATTTTGATATTTTTATGGATTTCACTGAAGCATGTAAGAATAGTTTATAAGTAATGCGTATGTAATAAATATATAAGAATATTTAGGCTTAGTGCCTTGAAAATAATAGGTACTTAATAAATGTTTGTGTGATAAAATGAAAAATAATTTTCCTTTTAATACTTTTATATTGGGCCATCAGATTAAAGTTCTATTGTTCTTCTAGTACTGTTGATAACAAATTAGCAACGCTTCAGAATATGGCACTATTTATAAACTGGCAAAGAGAGAAGACCAGGATAGAGTCTCAAGGACGGAATTTCAATTTTAAAAGATCGTTTGACTTTGTTAATCATGGGGCTTCATTAATCTTCATATCCATACAAACAAATATGCATCTACCGACACTCATTCAGGTATTTGTACTTAAGTATGGTATATAGTTATTAGATCCACCCTGGGTTACCAGTCTTGGTGATATCAGGAAAAAGCTGGAGAACTCAGCAGCTTCTGTAAAAAAAAAAAAAATAAAAAGCCCCATAAAGAGTACAACATAGAATGTTAGAGTTGGGAGAGACCATAGAGACCGTGGAATATAACTTTCTCATTGTATGCATGAGGAAGTAGAAGTGATTTCTAAGTTTCAGAGCTGTGATCCAAACTTCAATGAAATCTTTTAAACAACAAGAAGAATTTCCTTGGGTGTCATACAAAAGTCCTGTGTGATAGCAACCCTTAATCCCTGTTTGTTTAAAGAGTTTTTTGAGTGGGGTGGTATTTTATGAAATCTTTAGATATTTCCTAGAAACCAATACCACCTATTCGAAAGACAGTTTTCCTTGACAGAGTCATTTTTCTGTTGTGTGCTATCCTTGTTCCATCTACTACAAACAGAGGTCTTAATAAGCTGTTTTCATTGTCCTTAGGATTTATGTACAGCCTTAGCTCATTCTGATTTTGGTGCCTCTGACAACATTCTTAAAGAAGAATGCTAATTTTTTTTGTATTCATCCTCAACTATCTGCCTCTGCTTTCATTGTTTTACACATCTTTAAAAAATCTGAATTGATCAATGTATATCACTTTGGTCTCTTTTGATAGCTTCCTTTTCTTCATCATTGTGATTGTTTTTATTTTCAATTTTAGAATTTTTTTGTTGAAAGCTTTTTATGCTTTTTGCACTGTTTTCTCTTGTAGAGTTTTTAGCAATGAGATCTTAGCTCTTCTTTTTTTCCTAAACTTTTAATGAAAACCTGCTCTCCTAAGATCTAACATGTTTGTTAGACAGCCCAGCTTTTATCCTTCCTTCTCTTGCCTTCTAAGATGGAGCAGTGACTTGGCCTTACTTTTCCTACCATTTCTGATTCAGCAGTCAGTTCTTCAAAATCAGGTCCAGAAATGTACTCCATTTTGTCACTTTCTCTACTGTGTACAAACATGCCCACGTTTGTGAAAAGTGTGTAGCTCAGTACCTGTAATGTAGTAGGCGCTGTGTAAATGCTTATTTCTTTCCTCTTTCCCCTTTGATTACCAATAAAGGTTAATTTGAGTAAGGGTACTTGGAGGGTAGTGTTTGTGATATCCTCTTAGCAAATGGCTGATTTATAGCTACCTTGATCTCCTTCAGTCTCACATGTCCTGTATAGAGCCTTTTGAATAAGGTAGAGCCTGACGGTGTCTGGGAGGCCAGTCTTTTGGGAGGGTGTCCAGCTTGGGTCTGATGGAGGCTTCAGTGACTTGTCTCTCAGCCAAGCTTGAGCATCACTTGGGTACAGGTATAGTTGTAATCAGGATAGATACATATTTTTTCAGTGTGGATCATTCTAAGAGTTTCTTAGAATGCTTAATTAGAGAAAATTTAATGCCAAGAAGAAGGGATTACTGAACAAATGTTTCCCCCAAATATGTGCTGAGTTTCAGTAGGTGTGCCATAATAGCCCAGCCCCCACCCACAGAGGGGCAGTTTGTTATTGGCTCTTAGTGGCTTGGCATCTGGAAGGTCACAGAGAGGCTTGAAGCTGCCTCCTCTGCTGAGAAGAGTTGGAGGAACTCTCATGGAACACTGGATAATAAGCCTGGAGGTCTGACTGCCTGGGAACCATTCTTTGTTGCCAACTTGAATATTTCATTATTTCATGATTCCTAATATCAAAGAATACTCTGCTGTGAGTAACCTCATACTTTCCCTCCTTATGTAGCTAATCCCTTTTATATATCTAAATCATTTTTTAGGCAGGTGAATAAGCTGCAAATAACCCATGCTTTTTAGAAAATGATTTTATGGATGTCTTGTTTCTTATAGTTATTCCTACTATTTCTCCTTTACTCTGTCTCAGAGAGCAAGCTCACATAAAAAATAGTGTTTTTTAAAGAGGAAAAAAAAATCAACACAACTGATTAGCACATTGAAAAAGTCCAAAAACATGTGCAATGTGTAACCTGTCTCTGTGAAGTAGTGAATTGGAAGTGTCCTCTCATATCTCTTCATTTGAATCATACTTGAGCTTCATAATTTTGTTACATTCACTCTTGACTTTTTGGTGTATGGTCGTTTTTTCCATTTACATTATTATAGTCACTGGGCATGTTGTTTTTTTTGGCTCTGCTTACTTCACTCTGCGTCAGTTCATGTACGTCTTTCCATGATTCTCTGTATTCAACACATTCATCATATCTTACAGCACAGCGATATTCCAGTTACATTCCTTTACCATAATTTGTTTAGCCATTCCCCAGTTGACAGGCATCTTTTTACTATCCCAGTGCTGCTCTAAATAATTGGTGTATATGTGGGGACTTTATTCTTATCAATGACTTCCTTGAGATATAAGCCCAGTAATGGAGTTTCTGGTTTAAAGGGTATGAACATTTTAGTTATTTTATTTGCGTAATTCCTAATTGTTTTCCTAAATGATTATGCCATTTCATAGTTCCACCGCAGTATGTCACTGTGCCTATCATTCCACAACCTTCCAATATTGATTGTTGCTGTTTTTGGTCATCTTTGCTAATTTGTAGGGTGTGAGATTCCTAGGCTTATTCTTATTAATTTATTTATTTTTAATTTTCAACATTCACTTCCACAAGATTTTGAGTTCCATATTTTCTCCCCATCTCATATCTCCCCTCACCCCAAGATGGTATGCATTCTGAATACCCCTTCCTCTAATCTGCCCTCCCTTCCATCTCTCCCCCCTTTTCTTATCCTCTTCCCCTTCTGTTTTCCTGTAGGGCAGAATAGATTTCTATACCCCATTGCCTGTGTATCTTATCTCCCAGTTGCATGTGAAAACAATTTTTAACATTTGTTTTCAAAACTTTGGGTTCCAAATTTTCTCCCTTCCTCCCTCCCCACCCACCCTCATTGAGAAGGAAAGCAACTCGATACAGGTTATAGATGTGTAGTCATGCAGAACACTTCCATAGTAGTCATGTTGTGAAAAACTAACTATATTTCCCTTCACCCTATCCCACCCCCATTTATTCTATTCTCTCTTTTGAGTCTGTCCCTCCTCAGAAGTGTTTGCTTCTGATTACCTCCTCCCCCAATTTGCCCTGTTCTATCACCTCTCTGCTCTCTTATCTCCTTTCCCTCTATTTTCCTATAGGGTAAGATAGATTACCGTACTCAATTGAGTGTGTATGTTATTCCCTCCTTAAGCCAAATTCAATGAGAATAAGATTCACTCATTCCTTCTCACCTTCCCCCACTTCCCCTCCACTGTAAAAGCCTTTTCTTGTTTGTTTTATGTGAGATAATTTTCTGTTTCTTCTTCTCCCAGTATAATCCTCTCTCACCCCTTAATTTTATTTTTTAGATATCACCCCTTCATCTTCAACTCACCCTGTGCCATCTGTCTGTCTGTCTGTCTGTCTATCTATCTATCTATCTGTCTATCTAACTATCTAATTTTTTCCCTCCGACTACCCTAATATTGACAAAGGTCTCATGAGTTACAAATGTCATTTTTCCATGTAGGAATGTAAACAGTTTAACTTATGTCCGTTATGATTTCTCTTTCCTGTTTACCTCTTCATGTTGCTCTTGAGTCTTGTATTTGAAAGTCAGATTTTCTATTCAGCTCTGGTGTTTTCATCAAGAGAGTCCTCTTGAAAGTCTTCTATTTCACATAATGTCCATTTTTTCCCCTGAAGGATTATACTCAGTTTTGCTGGGTAGGTGATTCTTGGCTGTAATTTTATCTCCTTTGACCTCCAGAATATTATATTCCAAACCCTCCAGTCCCTTAATGTAGAAGCTGCTAAATCTTGTGTTATCCTGATTGTGTTTCTGCAATACTTGGATTGTTTCTTTCTGGCTGCTTGCAATATTTTCTGCTTGACCTGGGAACTCTGGAATTTGGCTATAGTATTCCTATGGGTTTTCCTTTGGGGATCTCTTTCAGGAGGTGATTGGTAGATTCTTTCAATTTCTGTTTTACCCTCTGGTTCTTGAATTGATATTCAAGGGCAATTTTCCTTGATAATTTTCTTCAGTGAGCTTTTGGACTTCCTTTTCCATTTGGCCAATTCTGTTTTTTAAGGCATTATTTTCCTCATTGGCTTTTTGGAGCTCTTTTGCCATTTGGGTTAGGTTATTTTTTAATATGTTATTTTCTTCAGTATTTTTTTTAGGTCTCCTTTAGCAAGCTGTTGACTTGTTTTTCATGATTTTCTTGCATCACTCTCTTTTCTTTTTTTTTTTTTTTTTGGTGAGGCACTTGGGGTTAAGTGACTTGCCCAGGGTCACACAGCTAGTAATTATCAAGTGTCAGAGGTCAGATTTGAACTCAGGTCCTCCTGACTCCAAGGCTGGAGCTCTATCTACTTCACCACCTAGCTGCCCTCCTTTGTTGTCTTTTCTGGTTGTATGTTTTGATCTTCTTTGTCACCAAAGAAAGATTCTGTGGTCTGATTTTTTTTTGCTCAGTTTGCTCATGTTCCCAGCAAATTACTTCAGTTTTAAGCTCTTTGTTAAGGTAGGGATTTCCTTCCAGTGTGGAGAATGTACTGTCCTAAGCTTCAGGGGTTTTATGCAGCTGTTTTCAGAGATACTTCTAGGGACCTGTAAAATTTAATTTCTTCCAAGGTGGTATGATTAAGGGCAAGGTGTTTACTCCTTTCCTGGTCTGTGCTCTGGTCTGTGAGTGACCACAAGCACTCTTTTCTGCCCTGAAACTGTGAGGAAGATTACCTTTCCACTGCCAACCACTACAAGCTCCGCCATGCCAGTGCTCCTCCTCGCCCCAGGACCGCTACCCAAAACTGTGACCCAGATCCAAGTAAGAGATTCCTGCTTCATTACGAGCAAAGAGATCTCTGCAGTCCCCCTCTGATCAGCCACTCGATGCCCCCTTTGTCCGTGGGCTGAGAGCTCCAGAAGCAGCCACCCTGGGACTGACCCAAGACTGACCCAAGCTTCTCTCTCACCGAGGTCTGATACACCTTTCCTACTGACCTTCTAAGTTGTCTTTGGCCTTTGTGGGTTGAGAAGTCTGGAAACCACCACGGTGATTCAGTCCTCTGAGGCCTGTCCCAAGTTCGCTGAGGCCTGGTATTTGCCTGTGCACCCACGCTGAACTGTGCTCCTCTCCCAGTCTGGCACAATAGACCTTTCCAATCAACCATCCAGGTTGTCTTGGGCTGGAGATTTGTTTCACTCGTCTTTTTGTGGGTTCTACTGCTGTAGAATTTGTTTAGAGGCATTTTTTACAGGTATTTGGAGGACTTTGGGGGAGAGCTCAAGCAAGTCACTGCTTTTACTACGCCATGTTGGCTCCTCCCACCCCCCCACAGGCTTATTTTTTGTGATGTGTTGATGGAGTGCCTGAAACATAGTAGGGGCCTAATAAATATTTATTGATTGATGTCCTAGTGTAAAAGAAGGAAAAGTAGAATCTACAGCATTCAGTTTTTTACTAGAATTCACTTTTTTCCCTTTTCATTTATTATGTTGCATGCAAATGTTTTTAACTAATGCAAAGAAGTTTATAGTGTCTTGAAAATAAAAGCAGTATGTTGGGAATTGTGCACAAAACCACCTGTAGTTTGATTCTGAAATTGTTTAATGTAAAATGAAGATTAAAAATTGAGGAGCCAAGTTAGACTAAGAATGGTCCATTACATCAGTTGTTGAAATACCAGAAAAATTCTGTTTAATTTACTTTGACCATATTCCTTTGTGTCCATTTTTATATCTTTCTTTGATTCCTTAAATATAAAAATACTGTTACAGTTAACTCAACCCATTATCTTTTTGTTGTGCCTATAAACTTGTATTTGGTCAAAGAGCTACCACCCAGGAAATATTCACAGAACTTGTTAAAGCACATCATTCTTCATTTCAGACAGACTTCATTCTTTGAATAAATTCTGTTTCATTTACTTTTCTTTTTCTCTGTAATAAAACTTCTCATCAGGTGTAAAGTCTTGGCTTGCTCACTTCTGGTAGCACGTAAGGTGATTTGTAAATTATTTATTTTCTTTAAGAATGGAATCCAGTCTTGTTCAACCTTTTAGTAACAATCTTGAAAAGCAGTTGAACTCCCCCTGCTGGTTATTTGATAGCAGTTACAAATAAGGTCTTTTAAATAGGTTCTCACAAAACAAAGAGAACCATGTTATTGTAATTTTCCTAAAAAATTGTAAAAGAAACAGATGAATTTTTAGTCCCAATGAAAATGACGAGTGCCTCTGAAAAAAAATAATATGGATGGGAAAATAAATTAAAATATGTTATATAGTCTATAATTTAATTTGATTGTACATAACAAATTTCATAACATATTTTATTTATATTAAAAGTAACATAGGACCTAAAGAGATCTCAGAACTATCTAGGCTAACCTGTACTTGAACAAGAACTCTCCATATAACATGCCTGACAAATGGTCATACCGTCTTTTCTTGAAAACTTCCACAAGGAGCACCTCACAGAGTATCATAAAATTTCAAAAATGAGATGTGAATATCATTTAGGTGATATTAATAATATTTATAGTTGTTAAATCTTTACAAGAAGAATTGCCAAAAGCCTCTTTTATATTCCTTGACTGAGAAATACCAGCAGTGGGAGCTTTATGCAAAGGAATCACAGCTAGTGAAGATAAAAGAACATAAATTAATTTATAAGTATAATGCAGTTTATCATGTAAAAACAATTTATTTAAAAAGAACTTTTTTTTGAATCCCCATAAAGAATTTGATAAGATGGATTGCATCTTAAATTTCGGGACTCTAAATTGCCTAAATTCTTACCATCATCAGATAAATATTATTTGGCATTCTATTTTTTTACATTTTAAAGATATTTAGTGGTACAAAAAAAGTACTTAATTACAGAGTTGCCATAATTAAATCTCAAACCAAATTTTATTTCTTCATATTAATAATGGGAAGAAAATTATAAAAATACTGTTTAAATTTAAAGTGTCTCACATTTTTCCATTTGTGATTATGATGGTATTGATGGAAAAACTGTTGAAGATAATGTAAGTAATAATGTAAACATACATAATGAGCAACACATCATTTTTCTCCTTTGTTGTTTCCATCCTGTGACAGTGATCTCCCTAAATCACAGGTCTGACTGTGTCAATTCCTATTCAGTAAATTCCAGTGATGCCTGATCACCACCTCCAGAATCAAATGTAAAATCCTCTATTAAGCATTTAGTCCTTCACTACTCCCTTTACCCCCTCATCCTCTACCTATCTTTTTATACCTCTCCCCTCCCCAGCCTCACCACTACTGCCAAGATCCCCTTGCTCCTTAGGTTGTAAAGATCCTTGAGTGCAGGTATTGGCTTTGCCTTTCTTTGTATCTCCTGTGCTGGTGTATACGGTAATAAATGGTTATTGACTGACACCATAGACTGATTATCATTTGTATTACTGCTTATGAGGTGTGATTATATAATGTTTTTTGTCTGACTTACTGACTACTGAAGACAGTTCCAAAAGAGGTGTTACCAAAACATTTTAAGGAATGGCACCATTATTGCCCAGGATCCCCAAGCCCTAGTGCCCCTGAAGTGGCAAAATAAATAAATGAACACATCTCTGCCTCTGTGGATTTTTTTTCCCTTTCTTCTCACTTTTAATCAGGGCAGGAGTCAAGTGCTGGTAATATATTTTCTATTTGTAAAGTCTCCAACCCCTCTTTCCATTTTTTCCAGGCACATAAAAACTAATTCATAAATCAATATGCTAAAGCATGCATCTAGTTTTCCAAAGAAAGAAAAGATACATTATTACATTTATGATAATAATAATTATAGCTAGCATTTATTAAGTACCTACTATGTGTCAGGTGCTTTACAGCTGTCATCTCATTTAATTCTCATAACACAGGGAAGTAGGTGCTATTATTTTCCTCATTTTACAGTTGAGGAAACTGAGCTCAATGACTTGCCCAAGGTCCCACAGCTAGTACATGTCTGAGGTTGGATTTGAACTCAAGCCTTCCTGACTTCAGTCCCAGTGCTCTATCTAATTGCCTCTTTGAAAGATGTTGAAAGTCTGTCAAAAAGGTTGAAAAATCTGCAGTAATTTTAATTTAATAGTGATACTCTAAAACTTCTGATAAGTAGATGGTAGTAATTAATTACTCAGCAGTTAAGCATAGTTCTTCACATTTGTGAATAATCAAGTCCTAAACTCAGATCTCTTCACTTAACTCCATCTCTTTGTCTACTTTGTAAAAGGGCTATAACATCTAAATGTCAGAATTCTAAAATAATACACTTTACATGTTTATTTCTGAAGCAAAGATTACATAATACCCACATAAGCCATTGTATGGAAGTCTTGTTACTATAGATTGTAAAACACCTACAGACTGTTAGGATTAGATGTGCTCAAATAATTTTCTTGAATATGAGAAGGAAGTATTTTGAAATAATTGGCTTACTTTTTTGTTTTGGATTTTTTTTTCAGACAGAACATTGGTGAAAGTATTCTTTATTTGTGGGTGGAGAAAATTCGAGAAATTCTAATAGAAAAATCTCAGCTATCAGAATCAGGTAGGATTTAAAATTTGACTTCAGTTTGTTTTTAATGTAATAGTGACTAAAAATTCACATAGGCCTCCAAACACAGAAGGATGACTGTCTGAATTACAACTTAAGAATTAGGAGAGAAGTTTCTATTGGGAAACTTATCTGCTTATGCCATTTCCTATGCTACTTACACACACACACACACACACACGTGTTCCTATGATTATTTCTAGCCGTATACAGTTTCATATTTCATCAATTTGATAGGCACTTTACAGAACATGCTATAAATTGCGTATCTTTTGACTACTAATAAAAACAACAAAAACTGACATTTGTGTAGCATTTTAAGGTTTGTTTTATGTACCTTATCATTGTTGATTGGTAATTTGAGCCTGTTAGATTTTCCTCAGTTCCGTCAAAATACTTGAATGTGATTTTTTGGACTTAGGTATTGTGTGAAAGAACAGAAGACTCTAGCAGTGTTGCTTAAAATAATTTGGGTTTGGAAAACTTGGGGGTTGAAAAATATTGATGGAAGCAAAAAAGATAGTAATTATTGAAAGGGGAAGAGTGGGAGGGAAAGGTTGTCAGAGTCTAAGATCTCAGGGCAAGGCAGGGTGGGATCCTTGGAATCCCCTGGCCCCCACCTTACTATAGCCTTGCCATTGTTGTTGCATCTGATAAGCAGCAGAATAGTAATCATGAAGCCCTGCACTTGAAGTCAGGAAGATCTGAGTTCACATCCTGCCTTAGGTACTGATTTGCTTTGTGACACTGGGCAAATCACATGGTTTCTACCTCACAGGGTTGTTGGAAGGCTTAAATAAGATGATGTATGTCAAACATTTTGTAAACTGAAAGCATTATAGAAATGTTATTATTGCCAATGCTTATAGACCTGAAAGTACTATATAAATAATGTTATTCTCAGTGCTTATCTTTTCTTCTCACCTCACTCTATCATTCTCTTCACATTGGTCAGCTTTCTTTATAGCTTGCTCTTGATCAGGAACAAAGCTTCCATAAAGTAGTCATCCCACTCTACTTATTGGAATCTCATAAAACTACCATTATTTTTTGTTTGTTTTATTTTAAGAAAAGCCCTATTTAGCTCTCTAGGAACTATAGAACTCCAAGGACCATGCTTTTGGAAATACTAAACTCATCATGCTACAGTGAAAAGAACACAGTGGCCATGGAGTCAGAGGCCCTGGGTTTAAATCCCACCTTTGCCACAAACTGCCTGTATGACTTTAGGCAAATCATTTAAATGCAGTTTCCTCATCAGTATAAGAGGGGGTTAGACTAGATGGTGTTTGAGATCCCTTCCATCTCTAGATGTGTGATCTTGTGTCAGCTCAAATCAGTTTCCTATTTCTAGAAAAAGAACTTTGGAAAACTATAGTGACTAATTTCAAGTAATATAATTGACATTACAGATATATATTTTATGGAATACTGTATTTGAATCTTTAATATGTGTTAACATTGTCAATTTCTAATGCCTTAACTAGAACCACTTTTCCAGTCTTTTTTCTGCTGACCGAAATAAGCTCATATAAACTGGAAAATTCTTTAATATGATTTTGTAATGAAATTTATAACCTTGTAGCAACTGGTAGAATTATTTTTAGTTGGGTTGAGGGTTGCAATGAGTAATTATGTAAGTAACAGTTCAAATATAAATTCCACAGAAAATCAGTAACAGAGCCAGCCTTAGCATGATGGTTATGTGCTACGAAAAGGAAAAAAAAAGATGAGGTAATTATTCTAAGTATTTCAGCCATTAGTGCTAATAATAAGTATTCACATCATAGCTATAGGTGCACATATTTTTAGTACTTTTAAGAAAAATGTATGATTAACTTAAGGCTGTCCTATTGATATGAATATTACTTTTGACTTTTTCATACTCTTTCAAAATTTCCCCCTGTAATGTTATAAAACATTTCTAGTTATCCTAGCAAGTGATTCAAAGTTCTCAAAGTAAAAAAAATTAATTTAAATTTAATTGTTAGGATTGTGCTATATCACACTTTTTGTTAGCAGTGGGAAATGGTTGTAAAATAAAAACACAACAGTAAAATCTAAAAATTGAAGAAAGGTTGAGAACCACTGATCTAGCATCCTTTGGGAATTGCCTTAATCTTAACTTAGCTGTCTTAAAATATTTTTACAGTTCCATAAGGCTTTTACCTAAATTCTACTTCATTAGCAGTTCTTTAAGTAAAGGTTTACTCTTATCTGTCCATGTTTCCATAATGATATTTTAAAATTTATTTGGATTTCATTTGGAAAAAAAAATTATTTTCTGTAATGAGCTTGTTTTGGAGATTTTGTTGGAAAATACAGAAATTACTTTGTAGAATAAGAGGAATAATTTATGAGAAGAAGAGCCTGGATAGCTCTTGTTGATTTTCATGTGTAGGCCACACACTTGAGTTAGTTTCAGCTAAGCCTGTTATGCACATTTACTGACTAATCATTGGAAACTAAGAATTTTAATGTCTTGTATGTATCCACCTAGGCCCAGACATAAACAAGAAAACTGAAGAGGAAGATGTTGACTGTGAAGATGATTATCTTTTTGATTGTCAATCAAAAAATAGAATTGAAGCCCTGGATTTTGTTATCACTGAAAGCCAGTCAGGTATATTGGCATGAATATTAAGTTTTTTGGAAAGTAGATCCATTGCATCATTATCCCCATCATCATAACTGACATTTATATAGTGATTTATTGTTTTGTAAAATACTTAATATACATTATTTCATTTGAACTTTACGACAATTCTACAAAGTAGGTACTGTTGTTGTTCCCATTTTACAGATTAGGAAACGGAAGCTCACTAGCACTTTGAAGGAGTGAGAAGGGTTATGAAGTAAAAAAAATTGTAGCAGGATAGTATCAAAACTCCAGAAATTTGAGAATCTCAGAGCTAAGCATTTTTAGGAACTTTATTATTCTTAACTTGGCAGGCTGGTTTTACATTAATTCATTACAATGTAATATTTTTGCCGTCTCATTAATTTTTTGTCTTAAATTCTTATTTCAATTAAACAACTGTCTTAATAGTGGTTTACTGTTATTTGCATCAGTTTCCAAAGTTATATTTTAAAATTTGTTTGAAAATCTATAGTTTCCATAATAAGTCTTTTTTAGCTTTTATTTGAAAATTTAGATAGGAATAATTTGGGAAAAATTAGTAGAACTACTAACGAATAGACAAGTTTAAATGAATTTTTATATGGTCTCATTCTCAGTGAAGTAGACAACAGTTAGTCTGTGGTCAATGTGGAGAATAGATGTTGTATGGGGACTCGAAGAAAGAGGAAAGAGTTTGGAAAGTGAGGTGGAATTTAGTGTTAATTAAGGTCCCCCCAGCCCTGTAGTATTTCTTAGAAGTTGAAACTAAGTACTTATTGAAGAAAATAAAGCCAGCCATGTTTTCACCATATAGATGTAGAAGAAGTACCACCAATCAAGCATGGAGTTCCAATCACTGACCGGAGAAGCACTTTTCAAGCACATTTAGCTCCTGTAGTTTGCCTTAAGCAGGTAAGGATACAGTATTAAAATTGATATTTCCTTTTTTATGCCAAAGTAATTAGAATGAAATTTAACTCTAATCTTTATTTTTACTTTTTATTTAATAGCTTTCCTATTAGATGGCACATTTTTAATCCATTTTTCCTACCTTAAGATTATTTTTGACTCATGCTATATATCCATATACACACACACACACACACACACATATACACACATATATTTATGTATTTATGCACTTGTCAAAGATACCTTAATCATTTAGATTTGCTTGTCTTTGGCTCCTTATCTAAACCTTGCTCTTAAATGTCTTCTAATTTGGAAAACACTTTATGTGCATTGTTAAAAAGCCATATAACATAGTACTCTGTAGAGTTTATTGTTTCAAAGCATTCTGTATTTTCATCTCGAGCTATTGCTTCTACTTAGGCAAATTACAGTCTCTTCAAGCCTTAGTATAATAGGGTTCAGTGCCCTGTCCAGGAAGACCTGAATTAAAAACTGGCCACAGACACTTATTAGCTTGGGTAACCTTGGGCGACTCATTTAACCTGTCTGCCTTAGTTTCATCTGTAAAGTGGGGAATGATAATAATAATAATACCTACCTCCCACGGTTGTTGTGTAAAGTACTATATAAATACTAGCCATAGTAATAATATTATTATTATGAGTAAAATTTGTACTGTGTCGTGTTTTCCGCTTGTAGGTGTCCAATAAATATGTTGATTTCATTTGATTTGACTTCAGAGATGGAATCGAAGATACCAACCTCAACTTCTCCATTCCAGACAATAGTACTAACCTTCTTTCCATACCCAATAAAAACAGAATAGAGAATATTTTAATCTAAAGTCCTGTGAGATCCTGCCTGGTTGAAATCTCAAGTAAAGTATCTGAGTTAGTAGAAAAATAATGTCAAAATGATGAAAGACTACCTCTAAACATTGAATACTTTTATTAGCATGACAGACTACAGTAAAATACTTTAAGATGAACTTGTTTCCTCGTTTGTTTATATAGCATTTACAATTATTCTTGTATGAGGTAAAAAATAATCATTTTTATTTTCAAGGTAAAAATGGTTCTTGCCAAATTATATGAAAATAAGAAAATAGCCAATGCCACCCACAATATCTATGCTTACAGGTGAGTCATAACCAGAACATAACACATATAATTGGTGAAAGGGGGTAGATCATTAAGGGCATTTCTTTTTTGTTTTGTTTTTTGTTTTTTGTTTTTGAAAGCCAGGCAAACTACCACAGATCTGAAACAGAATCATCTGTGTATGAAGTAAATGAAATTGCAAACAAACCAGAATTTCAATCATCAAAATCCAAATGAACAGACTAGGACAGTAAAATCTTATCTGTCTATAACCTTTAAGGAATGAGGCGGTTGGAAGAGTTGTTTACCATATTGTTGAAGGTTTACTCTCATCTCTCTGGTTTGCTTAACAACCTCAGATTTGAAAGTTGTATGAAAAACCGGGATTTGTTTTACATAATTTTTGTTGGAAATCTTTCTAAATATATTGCATACTTCCTTGACTCCTTAAGTAGAACTTACCAAATACCATTTAACCTCTATTTGATGATTTAATATCTTCATTATGATTATGAGCTATAAATATTGGTTTATTGGAAACCTGTGATTTCATCTGTGTTGGAACTGCCACCATATCAGTACTTTTGTAGTCTTTGAGATTTTCCCGAAGTGCACAGAGTTCAAGCGTCCTGCCTGTAGTCATGTAGCTAGTAAGCTAGCAAGGTTTGAACTCAAGTCTCCTGCATGTCCAGCACTCTCTCCACTGTGCCATGCTACTTCAAGAACTAGTTTCATATGGCAGTGTTAGACTGACACTGTATGCTTTTTGAGTTTTAGTGTCTTTTTTTGTAGATTGATTGTAGAACTGTCAGCTATCACTTCTTGCTGCTGTCAGTATACCCAATTCTTTCCTTTTAATTTGTTGCTTCTAATCAGCTGTGTTCTCAGTAGACTTTTCTAAAGTTACATGTGGTTATGAGAAGCAGGAAAGATCAGGAGTGGTATCTTATGTTTTTGAAGGTAACAGTAGCTTCATTAGCCTAAAGGAGGTACCTTTTAGTATCTACCTTATCCTGCTTTTTCATCATTGTGGGTATCCTTTCTGTGTTTGCATATCACAGCTCCTTGAGGCTTTAGCAGATAGTCTTCAGGAGTTGTCTGTCCAAGAAAGCTTGCCACCTGGAAACCAGCTTTTAGCTGATGATCCTCTCTGAATTGGATCTTAAATTGGTTATGGACCTTGAATGAGCTTGTACTTAAAACCTTAACATCTTAGCAGGACCTGACAGCTTGTATTCCATGGGCATAACCTTGAAAATCTAAGGATTTCTCCATGCTACAATAAGGCATCATAGTTATACTTTAGCAGAGGGATTATCCCTAAAAATATGCTAAATAGATTACTAATAAGAAACAGTGCGAAGTGAGTAATCCAATTTAGGGCTCCAGGTAAAATTATTTACAAACTAATTTGGAAACCTTGGAAACATTAGCCAGTATTGCAGTAATTATTTAATCTTGTTGAAAATGATATTTGGGGGCTCTAGAGTTTAACAGTAGTATATATGTTTGCAGAATATATTGTGAAGATAGGCAGACTTTCTTGCAGGACTGTGAAGATGATGGGGAAACAGCAGCAGGTGGACGTCTCCTTCACCTTATGCAGGTAGAAATAAGAGAAAACCTTTCTGAGCGCTGTACTTTCAGTATTCTCAGTACTAGAAAAGATGTATTGAGATAAAAGCAAATCAGTCTACTCCATCTCTAGTCTAACCTTTGAGTGAAGTTTTTTTTTTTTACATAGATTGAGTTATATTTTTGTTCCCTATAACTTGATAAAAAGAGGAAGAATACATTACCGCTCTAATAGGGACAGAAAACTAAAACTTATTCTCAGAATTGCTTTGAAATCCGTTCATGCAGCTGGAACTGATGCTCTGTGTGCAATTTACCAACTCTACTGCTGCTTCCTCTTTTTAAAATCTAAAGTTTTTCGTTTCCTCAGTTTCAATGAAAAAGTTATAGAACTCTGTTCAGAACCTTGAGTGAACTGAAAAACTTGGCATTTTATAACAATTTGAAAATGTGTCTTATGCTCAGCTTGGGAAAAATCAAAGTTTTTATGTTTCATAAAAATTTGGCAGAGAAAAAATGAATATTAATATGTTTTCTGAATATTCTGTGAAGAAAGATGAACACTCAGGATTTTAAAAGCATTTTTGATGTAGCTGTCCTTTGTCCTTTTAAGACTGATAATCTGTCCTTTTTCCTTTTAAATAGTTTTATAGAACAAAATTTTTGAATTTAATAAATTTCATAAGTGTTTTGTTTTTTTTATTTGAACTGAATTGAATTAACCTTTCTGGGCCTCATTTTCATTATCTGTAAAATGAGGAGGTTGGCCAGATGCTCTCTTTCTAGCTCAAATTTAATACCCCTTCTAGCTCAAAAATTGCATAATTCTGTATCCTGACTACAGGTCTCTTTGATTGCTAATCTGATCATCTCTCCACTCCCAATGTTATGCCTGCAAAAGTTAACTTCTAAATACTGTCATGCTGTATTTTATATGAACAGTTTTTTTTTTCTTTAAAGCATGTATTTATGTATGTAAATGTATAAATAATTGAGAGGCAGTCTGCTGTAGTGGATAGAGAGCTGGAACTTCAAAGTCAAGAAGAATGAATTTGAAGTGCATTGTGGACATATGCTAGCAGTATGACCCTAGGCAAGTCATTTACTAGGTCAGGGGCTTTAGTGAACTCTCTTAAAACTATAGATTGAAGGACACTTTTCAGTTTGCATTGTTAAAGGTAGTTTCTACACTGAGGAGTGCCCTGCACTGATGAAATCACAGATCCATCCTAATAACAAATAATTATATGTTTTTAAAAATACAGATTTTAAACGTACGGAATGTTTTGGTGGTGGTATCACGCTGGTATGGCGGTATTTTACTTGGACCAGATCGCTTTAAACACATCAACAACTGTGCCAGAAACATACTAGTGGAAGAGAACTATACAAATTCACCGGTAAGTTGTTATTGATAGTATCTAAAGATATCTTATCATGTCCTGTGAGGTTTGAAAAAAGCACAGTCAGAGAATTGAAACCTTTAAGCCATGTATTTTATTTTGTGTGGTTCTCAGGCCCTTTGTGGTCACAAATTCTTTAAGTGTAGAATCAAAAGTGGTGTGGTATAGTGGAATGTGCCTTTGCTTAGAGTGAAGCTTACTGTGTTACACTTTTACCATTAACTAGAAGAGTGACCTTGAGCAATTCACCACCCTTTTGAGTTTTACTTTTCTTATTGGTCAGTGAGGGAGTGGACCAGGTAATAGCTAAAGTCCCTTCCACCTTCAGAATCTGGATTTAACTATGTCACTTGGAGCTACCTTTTTTCCTGGAACAAGCTCTTTTTGTTTTTCCTATAGCAACTTGCCTTTTTGTGTGGAGGGATGTGATAACACTATATCTGCCCAAAATAGGTGTGTACCTACAAATAATCCCTTTCTGTTTTCATAAGCTTACTTTCCTTTTGGTCACACTGGTCTTGCAAATGGGATACTGCTACATATAAAAGATGAAGCCCTGGTTGTCAAGCCTTGATGATTTCAGCCAACTTCTGGTGTATCCCTGTTCCCCATCTTGGAATTGGTCTAGAAGACTTTCCTTTAGAGCTCTACCTCTAGGGCTTTTCATTATTCACTACTTGCTACATCTTTCCTGATCACTGACTGCCACCTCACGGCCAAGGAATACAACCTCTTGAAACTTCTTAATCCCTGGGTTCAGAGATTTGCTGCACCTTATATTTAACCACCTTTTTCTGCTCCTGTAATTACAACTGAGTATATTCCCTCCTGACTGTCTATTTCCTGTTAAAACACATTCCAAACCACTAGAGTGCATTTTCTAAGGTGATGTACAAGAGAAAAGAGAATGTACGGATTCAGAAATAATTCAGCAGGATAAGATAATTAAAAGTACATAAAAATAACTTTTGGAAGTAAAAGAAAACTACTAATCACCACACCAGACAGTGTCCAAGTTTTCTGACCTCTGACTAAAATTGCTTAGGCTTAGCTTTGTCTTCATCATCATTTTTAGGTTGGGAAGATTAATCTTGCTTGTGATTTCCACACAATTGTAAAATCTTTGGTTCCCAGAACACCCTCTGCTAAATTTGGATTGGTCTCCTCATTTCTCTGGCCCAAGCTTTTTGGTCCCTTCTACAATCCAAGGCTGACTATCAGCCACACAGAAAGCCCCTTGTTTGCTGGGGAACTTATGATGCTATAGTCATATTGTCATATTAATGAATTACTCATTTAACTGATTATCTATCCTCCCTCTTCCCTGAACAGAGAAGAGAAAGTAGGAACAACTAAGATCCACAATTAAAGATTATCCTATTATCCTCAAAACAGTATTCAGTACCCTTCTGACAGTACACAAATATGAACTACTTTATTGTAGAATTCATGTCTCCTGGCAATAACTTACTAATCTAAACGTACCAATATGACTTTTTTGTTGGAGTTATGCCATTTTACAGTTTAACTAGTACATATTGAACAAGTTCACTAATCACTTATTACTACTGTATTTTTTCCTATGGCTCTGAAAACCTTATTATTCCTACTAAAGCTTGTTACATATTAGGGTAATCAACAAAAATTCTTGGAAAATGTTGTGGAATCTAGAAAATATCTTCTTGGAAGTATAACTCGATTTTAAATATTTTTAAGAACACAAAAATGTGATCTTATAGATGCTTGTGAAAGATTATCAATGGTAGATAATCAGTGATAATTCTTTTCATGGACGTTCCACTTGAAAGGGAGGTGTGAGGAGTTTGTGGGGTTTTTATATTTTTATCTCTGTTGTCACCATCACTACCATCTTCATAATTGATTTTCATTAAAACTTTTTTGGTTTTGACCTAACCATGATTACCTCTATGATCCTTCAGTATTATGTTTTTTTGTAAAACAATGTATTCTGGAGGAAATTTGGTTATTTCAATTAGTCATGGAAAAAATGCTTGAGCCAGTTAATTTTTTTTTCTTATTTGTATTTTACCTGTGAGTTTTCCTTTTATTATAGAAGAAAATTAAGCACATTAGCATTCTGAAAAATTATGTATTTACTATGCCCTTGATCCATCTTCTTTGTTGAAGAAGACCATGTTGATTTTTGCCTTTTTCAGGAGGAATCATCCAAGCAGCTGGGAAAGAGCAAAAGAGTAAGAAAAGACAAGAAGAAGAGTGAACATTATACTTGAAAATTTAGCTTTTAGATACTTTTGTTCTGATTGTATCATTAATCATTCAGAAATACTTTCTGTAGGGAAGATCATTGAAAGACATACTTTATGACTACTTAACCCAGGAGTTCAAGGAAGCATGACATGGATGCCAGCCAGGATTTTCACTTATTTCTTGATTGTGCCAATTGCTCAAAAATGAATAACTTGTGTACTCTTATGTATTTGAGGATGATTCAGAAGAATTAATCAGACCTAATCATCACTGCTTTTAATTTTGGGAAGGTAGCAGTTGCTCTAAGTATCAAGTGAATTACCTGTCCTTTTGAAATTACATGTCAAGTGCCTTTCTTATGTGGCGGAAACTATCTTTGGAGAGTTTAAATACTTGATGTCTTGTCACCTGGATTCTTGTTGAGTTAAATGAATATTGTGTTTTACAATACTTTACAGAAAGTTTGAATGAGCTCCTGGAGAGCTACCTTTTTTTTTTTTTTAATTGTAGTTCAGAAAGCTCACTTTAGTTCGAGTGTGCATTTCTGAATAGTGTACATTTAGTGAAAACTCAGCTAATATCTATCAGTAGAAAAATACTAGAAGTGATCATTTGTTTAACTTAAAATGAATTATGTAGATGTCATAACAGACTTGGTAGAGAATCTGTGGTATTGAAATTCATAGAAGACATTTCAGATCTACATCTTGGTTTTTGTACCAGTAATGTAAAGCAGTAAAAGTGCACTATGAGCAGGCCTTTTTTCCTAATGGGACATGAAAATGCAGCATTCTATTTCTTTTTAAAATCTAAAAGTATTTTCTTTATAGTTTTCATTATGAAATTTAGAGTACCCTAGAAGATAGCCCCTAGTGAATGGGCTAGGTAGGGTTGAAATGGATCTGGTACCCATAAGTAATCTGTAGTTTTCATCAGTGGCATTCAATGTACTGTCCTTTTCTCTGCTTGGATACAAAATAAAATATTTAGTTAATAATTTACTAAGATTCCATACATTGAGGTTAGACAAGGTCTTGGATAGAAAAAGAGCAAATCTTTTTGACTGGAAATGTCACTGCTTTGTTGGATTTGTGATTCCATAAGTATATAGGTGTTCTATCCGTGGGGCAAATAGCAACCCATCCATGACTTCCTCACATGTACCATTGTTTATTTCATTCAGTAAATTCCTAGCCTAATACACTGAACACCTTCCTCTATAAAAGGGGTTCTTAGATTTCTGGGGGTCCACTAAAATTTAAAAGGGAAAAAAATTACATCTTTATTTAAGTATAACTAGTTAAAACCTTGGTAATCAGTCCTAAGTATTTTATATATTTAAAAACATTATTTTGAGAAAGGATCTATGGGCTTTACCAGACTGTCAAAGGGTTCCATGACACAAAAAGGGTTAAGAAACCTTGCTCTTGATCTTGTAATAGTTTATGGATGCTAGTTCAATATTGCAGGACAGCTAAGTGTCTCAGTAGATGGAGTGCCGGGCCTAGAGTCAGGAAGACCCGAGTTCATATCTGACCTCAGACACTTATCAGCTGTGTGACCCTGGGCAAGTCACTTAACCCTATTTACCTCAGTTCCTCATTTGTAAAATGAACTAAAGAAGGAAATGGTAAACCACTCTAGTATTTTTGCCAAGAAAACCCCAAATGGGGTCATGAAGAGTTGGGCGTGATTGCAATGATTGAACAACTCAACAAGTGCAACATTTGGACTGTCTGTTATCCCTTGCTTTTGCTACATGACCACCTCCTTTTCTGGTTATGAGTGTGCTTGATTATGTTTTTTATAAAACTTCCTACATGCAAGTCATTTTTGGTAACACACCGTAGCCAAGGGAGAAACTGTGTACTTTGTCCTTTGAATCACCTGCAATTTAAATTCAAAAACATACAGCATTACTAGGAAAATACTGATGTTGAAACAGCGATTTTTTTGTGTGTGTCAGGGAGCATCTGGATATCATTGAAAGTACTTTATGTTTTCTCAAGTTTAGTCCAGCCCACTTTCCTCTTCCTTTTTGCTTCTGGGCTCAGCTAATTGTCCATCTATAGTGCTTACCTAAGAAATACATAATCAGTTGCCCATTCATCTGGGAACATAAGTGCTTCGTCTGTTTTTTTCTTATCGGAATAAAAGGAATAAATATCAATCTTAGTATTACTTATCATTAAATTTTAAAATTTCTTCCCTGGTTTATAAGCTTTCAGTTTATGTTACCTTTTTGACAGTAACTCAAGGCCTTTGAAATATGATAACAAATAAATGACTCTTAATCACTTATGCTAATGAGAAAGAGCATTGTCAGAGATAGTAAAATATCTACCCTTAATTTTCCTTGAAGCGGAAACAGCAGATGAGGCAAAGGAGAGATTGGGAGGCAATTCTGAAAAAACTGGAGATGAAAGAAGTGAACTCTGGCACCTTCTTCTGCCCTGTTCTTGGAGAGGTTCACTTTTGTTCCTTTTACCAGTGAACCATGAGATTGTATAGAATGCAATATAGAGAGATAAGGAGAAAGATATATCTTATGTATGATATACGTATCTTACATAGATCTCTGTCTCTATCTATGGGTGAGGAAAATGGTGGCTTCCTTATGCCACTATTAGGTTGTTGAAAATCCTGGAAAGAATATCAGAGGGATTTGGAAGAAGAGGAAGTTATCATCACTTTATCTTCTATATCTGCAGTGGGAATAATTTAGGTAGTAGCTGGGAGTGATAGAAAAACAGTAAAATATTTCAGTGGCAGTAGGTAGAGTCAGGCAGTAAAGATTGACACCATAAAAAAAAGGGAAATTACAAAATCTTTGTTGAAAGTCCATTTGGGGAAAATAGGAAGAGAAACTCAAAGGATTGTTTAATTTAGAATTTAATCTGTCTACCTACTTACTGTAGCCTTTTTTTTTCTTAATAGTATTTTATTTTTTCCAATTAAGATCGTTTTCAGCATTTCATTTTTGTAAGGTTTTGTGTTAAAAATTTTTCTCCCTCCCTTTCCTCCCCCCTCCCCAAGACAGCAAGTAATCTGATATAGGTTATACATATACAATCATGTTAAATATATTTCCACATTAGTCATATTGTGAAAGAAGAATCAGAACAAAAGGGAAAAACCATGAGAAAGAAAAAACAAAAAAAGTGAAAATAGCATGCTTCCCTCCTCATTCATACTCCATACTTCTTTCTCTGGATGTGATAAGCATTTTCCATCATGAGTCTTGGAATTGTCTTGCTAAGATGAGGTAAATCTATCATAGTTATCGCACGATGTTGCTGTTAACAGTGTTCAACGTTCTGGTTCTGACCACTTCACTCATCATCAGTTCATGGTTTTTTCCGGGTTTTTCTGAAATCTGCCTGCTCATTTCTTATAGCACAATAGTATTCCATTACATTCGTATACCACAACTTGTTAAGCCATTCCCCAATTGATGGGCATCCCCTCCACCACAAAAAGAGCTGCTATAAATATTTTTGTACATGTGGGTCCTTTTTTTTTATGATCTCTTTGGGATACAGACCAAGAAGTGGTATTGCTGGATCAAAGAGTATGCACGGTTTTATAGCCCTTTGGGCATACTTCTGCATTGCTCTCCAAAATGGTTGGATCAGTTCACAACTCCACCAGTAATGCATTAGTGTTCAAATTTTCCTACATCTCCAACATTTATAATTTTCCTTTTCTGTCATATTAGCCAATCTGATAGGTGTGAGGTGGTTACCTCAGAGTTGTTGTAATTGTATTTCTCTAATCAGTAGTGACTTAGAGCATGTTTTTCATATGACTAGAGATAGCTTTAATTTCTTCATCTGAAAACTGCCTATTCATATCCTTTGACCATTTATCAAATGGGGAACAACTTGTAATCTGATATACTTCTCACTGTAGAAATGAGGCCTTTATCAGAGATACTGGCTGTAAAAATTTTCCCAGCTTTCTGCTTTCCTTCTAATCTTGGTTGTATTGGTTTTGTTTGTGTAAAACCTTTTTAACTTAGTGTAATCAAAATTATCCATTTTGCATTTCATAATGTCAGTCTTGTTTGTTCATAAATTCTTTCCTTTTCCATTGATCTGACAGGCAAACTATTCCTTGCTGTATCACCATTTGCTTATTGTATCACCATTTATGTCTAAATCAGGGCATCTTAAACTTTTCCCACTCGTGACCCCTTCAGCACTTCTTAAACTGTGGGTACAGTTTAAGAAGCGCTGGTCTAAATCATGTGCCCATTTTGACCTTATCTTCATAAAGGGTGTGATATAGCCTATTTTTAATATAGTGCTTTCTTTTACAGTTGAAAAAAAAACCCTTAAATACATTTAAAATTTTTAACAATATTAACTTCATTCTAGATTGGATTTGTGATTTCATTGTTATGGAAAGTCCTGATAAAAATATCTGAAGTTTGGTGCTTGCTCTACAATTTCTTCAAGAATTCTTTTGGGGTACCGAGAAGGTTATGACTTGCTTAGAATTATGTAGCCAGGTGTAACTTGAACTCAGTCTTCTCTGTATAAAGTTCTCTGATCTTTATACAAATTAATTATCTTTCTTTTTAGGTTATTTTCTTGGAGTATACTCTTCAGAATAGAATTATTGGGTCATAGGATATGAGCAATTTTTCTGTCTCATTACATAGTATGAGGGAGAAGCATGGTAGAGAACATTTAGGTGAGGATATGGTGAGGCAGAAGGAGAAGAGATATTGTAGTGGGAGTATAGGACAGATTATCCAGCCGGAAGGAGGAAATGGATATGTGTTCAGAAAAAGGCTGTGTACCTGACACAAAGTGATGATGATGGGAAGCAGCATGGTGTAGTAGGAAGAGAGGGAGGGACTGGAACTTGGAGTCATAGAATCTAGGTCTGAATTCAGCTCTGCCACTAACTAGTTGGGTGACCTTGGGAACATCACTTAATCCATTTGGGCCTCAGTTTCCTCATTTGTAAAATGAAGGGGTGGAACTAGATGACCTTTCAAGTCCCTCTCAACTCTAAATTCATTCATCTCCACCTCTGGCTGACTACTGGGACATCTGTTGGGGCTCTTTCCCTGCTAAAAGCAGAGTGGCTCATGCATTCTCGACTTAGCTTGATGATAGTTTCATTCTTTAAAAGGTAGAGCAAACAAAAGAAACTGCTGTTATGGATGTGGTTCTGACCCACAAGATGGGTCAGGTGTGTTTTGTAGATTATGATTGATGGGGGCAGGTAAGTCGCACAGTGGATAGAGCACCAGCCCTGGAGTCAGGAGGACCTGAGTTCAAATGCGACCTCAGACACATAACACTCACTAGCTGCGTGACTCTGGGGAAGTCACTTAACCCCACTTGCCTCACACATGCAAAAAAAGAAAGATTATGATTAATGAAAGGAAGGGGAGACCCAGACCTGATGTATGCTTTAGATTTGGGAGAGGTTTTCAAAAAGGTCATAGGAAAGATATGATCCCATTGCCTACAGGCAAAATAGTCCCAAAGAGGGTTGGGAAGTTCTCCAGGTGAAAGTCCGACATCACAGACATCACAAACGAAACCCTTCCAATGAGGAAGAAAAGAGGAAGAGCTACTTAAAATGCTTGATGTTAATGCGCAGGGAACTCATTGACCAAGAGGTGGAACAGGTTTGTACAGAATATGGAACCAAGAGAGCAAATACCAACATAAAAACAAGACTAGTGACATGTTAGATCATTGCCTGGAATACTAAAGCTTAAAATGAGCTGAGGCACCAAATGAGTGCGAGGGCACCAAAAAAGGAATATTTTTTTGTAGCTATGTAAATGAGCAAGGAGATTAAAAAAAAAAAGATGATTAGAGTGGACAGAACTGTGTTACTAGGTGACTGAGGGAAGGCAGAAGGACTCCGCTATTTTGTATCTGTTTCCCTTGCCAAGGAGAATGAGCTCCACGTTGGGCAAGGTAGGAAATTTAAAAAAAAAAAAGTTAAAAAGTAATTAAGATCTAAGATAAGTGAAGGGATGATAAGAGAGTAGTCCTTGTTTTGCTTGAGTCACCTGGTCTGTATAAACATTACAGTAAGGATGTGATCACTCACCTGTTGTCAGCAGTCTTTGAAAAACTGGAGAAAGGGAGAGGTGCCAGAAAAAATGGAAACTGGCAGATGATCTGCAGGTCAGGCTGATGAGCTTGACTTACTGTCAGGAAATGGATGTATTTTTGTAGTGGTTTAAGAAGAGTCAGAAAGGGAAGACTCACTAAGAACCAGAATAGATTTATTCAAAACATCCTGCTATAGTAACTGTAGTTTTTTGGGGTTTTTTGGAAATGTTACTAGACTGCTGGGCAGCTAGATTGTATAGTAGATGGAGTACCAGGCCTGGAGTCAAGAAGACCCATATTCCTGAGTTCAGATCTGGTCTCAGACACATACTCGCTGTGTGACCCTAGGCAAGTCATTTAGCCTTGTTTGCCTTACTTTGTAAAATGAGTTAGAGAAGGAAATGGCAAACCACTCCAGTATTTTTGCCAAGAAAACCCAAATGGAGTCATGAATCAGAGTTGGATGTGACTGAAATGATTGAA